ACCGTAGGGACTACTGATTTTTTTCGTATAGAAAAAAATCTCGACAGGACCGTAGGGACTATTTTTTTCGTATAGAAAAAAATCTCGACAGGACCGTAGGGACGATTTTTTTCGTATAGAAAAAAATCTCGACAGGACCGTAGGGACTATTTTTGTCGTATTGAAAAAAAAAAACTCGACAGGACCGTAGGGACTATTTTTTTCGTATAGAAAAAAATCTCGACAGGACCGTAGGGACTATTTTTTTCGTATAGAAAAAAATCTCGACAGGACCGTAGGGACTATTTTTTTCGTATAGAAAAAAATCTCGACAGGACCGTAGGGACTATTTTTTTCGTATAGAAAAAAATCTCGACAGGACCGTAGGGACTATTTTTTTCGTATAGAAAAAAATCTCGACAGGACCGTAGGGACTATTTTTTTCGTATAGAAAAAATCTAGACAGGACCGCAGGGACTAGTGATTTTTTTCGTATAGAAAAAAATCTCGACAGGACCTTAGGGACTACTTATTTTTTTTTCGTATAGAAAAAAATCTCGACAGGACTATTTTTTTCGTATAGAAAAAAATCTCGACTATTTTTTTCGTATAGAAAAAAATCTCGACTATTTTTTTCGTATAGAAAAAAATCGACAGGACCGTAGGGACTATTTTTTTCGTATAGAAAAAAATCTCGACAGGACCGTAGGGACTATTTTTTTCGTATAGAAAAAAAATCTCGACAGTAGGGACTATTTTTTTCGTATAGAAAAAAATCATTGACAGGACCGTAGGGACTATTTTTTTCGTATAAAAAAAAACAGGACGTAGGGACTATTTTTTTCGTATAGAAAAAAACATTGACAGGACCGTAGGGACTATTTTTTTCGTATAGAAAAAAAATCTCGACAGGACCGTAGGGACTATTTTTTTCGTATAGAAAAAAATCTCGACAGGACCGTAGGGACTATTTTTTTCGTATAGAAAAAAATCTCGACAGGACCGTAGGGACTATTTTTTTCGTATAGAAAAAAATCTCGACAGGACCGTAGGGACTATTTTTTTCGTATAGAAAAAAATCTCGACAGGACCGTAGGGACTATTTTAAAATCTCGACAGGACCGTAGAGACTATTTTTTTCGTATAGAAAAAAATCTCGACAGGACCGTAGGGACTATTTTTTTCGTATAGAAAAAAATCGACAGGACCGTAGGGACTATTTTTTTCGTATAGAAAAAAATCGACAGGACCGTAGGGACTATTTTTTTCGTATAGAAAAAAATCGACAGGACCGTAGGGACTATTTTTTTCGTATAGAAAAAAATCTCGACAGGACCGTCGGGACTATTTTTTCGTATAGAAAAAAATCTCGACAGGACCGTCGGGACTATTTTTTCGTATAGAAAAAAATCTCGACAGGACCGTCGGGACTATTTTTTCGTATAGAAAAAAATCTCGACAGGACCGTAGGGACTTTTTTTTCGTATAGAAACAAATCTCGACAGGACCGTATGGACTGATTTTTTTTCGTATAGAAAAAAATCTCGACAGGACCGTAGGGACTATTTTTTTCGTATAGAACAGGACCGCAGAGACAATTTTTTTCGTATAGAGAAAATCGACCTTAGTTACTATTTTTTTTCTTTTTCACAAGACCGTTGGGTTTATTTTTCTATGGAAATTCATTGGACCCTTCGGACAATTTTTTTCTTATAGAAAAATTCACCATCAGGGGTAAATCGGTTGGTATAGAAAAAATGCTCTTCTGAAGTTCAAATATTTTCCGGGCCACTTCAGTATTTTCCTGTCACTTATGGAGTCACAAATATCCTCTTTCATATCTAAATGCCAAATTTGAATATTAAGATTTGTGTGTCTCCATTAATGGTTTCAACGGAACCTGGTTAGCAATTCAATTTACTGGTTTCAGACTTCTCAACACCCAAAAGCGGAATCCTTTATCCTTTCGATCATTACAAAGGGTGTTGTTTATTTAGATGGCACGCAATTTGGAATACTCTTCTTTTATCCTTGCGGAAGGTCCTCTTTAGGCAAAAAAACCGCTACTAATGGTCTTAAATTGTTATGGTCGAATGACAGGCGGAGAAGGGGAACATTGTGCAACGACATCATTACAACAAGAAAGGGATTGTGGCACAACAACAAATGTCCATGTCCATTGAAAAGTCCACTAAACATGGCTCCATATTATTGAGGTATGGCCTAACCATTTTTTGTCCTTTGATGTTGTTGTTAGTGTTTTTGTTGCCACTGCTGCTGTTGCAGTTCCTGTTTCCTAGCTTGTGTTTTACATTTGGCCATATTTTGGGGTCAAAGGGTAACATCAGTTAATGGTTACGGCTATTCCTGTGCGGTGCTGCTTTTGTTCGTTTCGTTTTTCATTTCTGTTCTACCTTCTGGCTTGTTGTTGCAACATGTTGCGGTTGCATTTATGCTTCATGGCTATTTGGTGTGATGTGTGTGTGTGTGTGAACTGCATTCCGACTCGGTCTCTATTGTCCTGCAGAATGTTTGACTTCCCGCTGTTGCTGCCTCTGCTGCCGGTCTTTGGTTAGGTCTTTTGGTTGCAATTTAAGTTATCTCTGGTATGTGTTGGTCCTGTCCCAAGGAATAATGTGTGTTGTTGGTGTTGTAGAGAGTGTGTGTGTCTGTGCCCCCTTACTCATCACAACTCGTGCCATGGCAAATGGTTGCTGTTGTTGTTGCGGTGGCACATTTCTATTTCTTTTTCTTTTTTGTGTTTTGGCTACATATGGTCGGTCGTCAATGGTTTGTTGTGGTCATGTTTTTGTTGTTGTTAATTTTTTAGCAGTCTCTGCTGGGTTAAACTTCAGTTGTTGTTGCTGCTGCCTGAACCGCACCATATGGTCATTCCATTTATGTCCATTCTTGTTGTAGTTATGTCTAGTTTAACGTTTTGGTTTTCCTATTCTTTTTCGTTTGGGGGGATTCTTCCTTGCATTTCGACTTCGGGTTTTAAATCATCCTGCAGTGTTATGCCATTCCATGTCCTATCCTGCCATTTATGTTGGTTAATTTCTTTTGGGAAAATTGTTTTTTTGCTCTTCAACATCAAATTTGTGACGTTGTCTTCGTGGAGTGACATTTAGCCAGAAGTTGCCTTGGCCGTTAACCGTGAAAGTCACAAATTATTATAAATGTGTCCAATTGCGCTGATGAGTGGTGGCTAAAAACCCTTGCCAATAGAGTGACGTAAAAAGTTCTCAATGATGTCAATAACGAGGGTGATATTGATCGGACTCATAAAATGATAGAGGGCCAATTTGGCATTGTGCCAAAAATTAGCAGCAATTTTATACACGGAAAAAAATCACAAGACCGTATAAACACATTTAGAGGACCGCAGGGACTATTTTTTGGTATAACAAATCGACAGGACCACAGGGTCTATTTTTTTTCGTATCGAAAAAAAATTGACAGGACCGTACACTATTTTTTTCGTTAGAAAAAAATTTTTCGTATCGTATAGAAAACAAATTGGCAAGACCGTAGGGACTATTTTTTTCGTATAGAAAAAAATCGACAGGACCGTAGGGACTATTTTTTTCGTATAGAAAAAAATCGACAGGACCGTAGGGACTATTTTTTTCGTATAGAAAAAAATCGACAGGACCGTAGGGACTATTTTTTTCGTATAGAAAAAAACATTGACAGGACCGTAGGGACTATTTTTTTCGTATAGAAAAAAACATTGACAGGACCGTAGGGACTATTTTTTTCGTATAGAAAAAAACATTGACAGGACCGTAGGGACTATTTTTTTCGTATAGAAAAAAACATTGACAGGACCGTAGGGACTATTTTTTTCGTATAGAAAAAAACATTGACAGGACCGTAGGGACTATTTTTTTCGTATAGAAAAAAACATTGACAGGACCGTAGGGACTATTTTTTTCGTATAGAAAAATGTCGACAGGACCGTAGGTGGCATTTTTTCGTATAGACAAAAGTCGATAGAACTCTAGGGAATATTTTTTTCGCATTGAAAAAATCGACATAATTTGGCCATGGACAACAGTTAGCGGCACGAGTCGGCCAGCAGACCTAGGGCAATAACAGTTTTTTAGAGTGCCAAAAAACTAAGTTATTTATTTGAGCCTTCAAACGAAAACACCCTCCACTGCCAACAACAACATCTCAAAAAGGACAGGTCAGTCAAAAGGTTGCAAAAACAACCCTTAGAACCTTCACTCGCTCACTCCCTCCCTCAACGAGTTGATGGCCTTTATTAAAATATCCTTTTGTGTGTTTTTGTTGTAGTAGTTGGTGTTGTTGTTGCATTTGGCCTGTTTGGTGATATGTTAATGATGATGATCCCTAATTTATGCACTTTCATAGACTATTTGCAACAGACGAAAAGGAGAAGAAGGAATGCTATGTGCCCATAAAGTGGTCAGCCAGAGAAAATTGAGGGAGGGGGTTGCTTCGCCTTGGGGATGATTTGTGCCTACAAGGAAGAAGATCCTATTTTCATTCACCAGAGAAATAAATTCATAAAACTTGGAGTGATAATAATGATAGATTGTAGAACGGAGATATTAGCTCAGCTCGTGCCAAGAACGGCGCTTCTGTTGTTGTTCGAAGAATGGCTATGATATGGAACATGTGGTCGATGGTTGGCTGAAGATCTTCTCTTCTGTGTGTGTGCGTTTGTTTGGCTGTGTGTTGGTCGCATGCCAGTTGGTCTAATTGTCTGTATGGCCAACTGACGCTTTTTTACGAATTTGTTTAATTGCGTGAATGAAGAAGGGTAGGGGGACTACGAAGACGAGTCCATCAGCCACCACTTAACAATGGAAAAAAGTGGCACTTTCAAATTGAAGAGTCAAGAGTCAGAATTTTCAAACCAGGATTAGTTGTAAAACAAACAACGGCGTGTTAAGATCGACATAATTTTTTCCGACAAATCGAAAGAAAAAATTTGTTAATTTAGAAAAAAAATAAAATTTTGAAAATCGAAAAAATAATTCTCGGACGCCATGAATTCCTACTTGTCATATAAACCCATGGCAACCCACCATGGAGTGCTGGCGGATTATACAACAGCATACCCTTCTTCTGCGGAGGATGATAGCTCTCAATATTTGGGTAGCCCTAGCTATCAGCTGAATACAAACTCCCCTCTCAACACCACTCCCTATGTGGGGAATACCACAGTTTATGTGGATAATTGGAATATGAATAGTGGGATGATTACATCAACACCCAATGGAAACGGAGGATATTACCATCAGCAGCAACATCATCTCCATCATCCCGAATATCACATGGAAACCCCCTTGACACCAAATCAAAGTTCCACAGAGCTAAGTCACAACGAAATCAGCACCGATTCCAAACCAAAAACTAACAACAAAAAAGAAAGGAAACCCAAAAGTCGGACCAACTCCACCTCTTCAAGAAAATCACAGAGTTCGGAGCCGACAAATCCTCCCAGCCCTTCAGTGCTCAAACGCCGACGCCAGGCAGCCAATGCCAGGGAACGCAAGCGTATGAATGGTCTCAACGAAGCCTTTGATCGTCTACGCGAGGTAGTACCCGCTCCCGATTTGGAACAAAAACTCTCCAAATTTGAGACACTACAAATGGCTCAGACCTACATTTGTGCTCTCATCGATATGCTTGAAAATGGCACAGAGTCTTCGGAAATCAACTACAACAGTCTTTACTCTCTTGAGGGAAACTCCTGCCTATCATCACCCGAAACAATAGCATCACCCTGTTCCCCATCCTCAACCATCAACAGTTTTCCATCCTATCGTCAAGATTTGAGTCTGCAGTGATTTGCCACGTTTCGAGCCGTGTTCTTTTTTCCAATTCAATTCCTGTTCCTTGTATCCTGGTCAGCAGCATAGTCGGCGTCGTCATTAATACCCTCGACAGAGGCTCAGCTCAGTTAAGGTGATTGAGCACGTGTTACTCGTAAAAATTGATGGCTTTCCAATAATGGGCGTTTAGGCGAAACAGCAGCAGCATTCGGCGACAGCCTTCCCTCTGCAAACAGCAGTTGTAGTATTCGAATGGTGATTTGAAAGTGCACCTTTTTCTAGGATTTTTTTTTTTTGCTCTGGCCTCCTGCTAATTGCTGTCCTGTCATTCCACCTTACTGAACCATGGACCACGTATGCTGCATATTTTTGTTTTGCCAATGTGTGTGGGAGTATTGGAGCATAGGTATGTGTAGGTGTTAGTGTTACTTGTAAATCCTGCTGATGTTGGGTTAGTGTTTTGGCTGAGCTAGCAAATGTGAGTGTGTGTATGTGCGCGGTGTGAATCCTTTAGCATTAAATGGTTTTTAACCTGCCATTACCAAAGATGTGGTTGTGCATTTAATGGCCACAGTGGGCAATTTTTTCAAGGAGTTTTAAAAAAATTAAAAACAATGAAGTGGGTAGTTGAAGAAGGGGAGGAACTTTGTGCGTTATTTTTGGAAAAAATAGTCCCTTCTATTACAAGAAGTAGTGTCTGTGGTCCTGCCGATTTTTTTTTCTATATGAAACAATTTTCCTAAAATTATTTCTATACGAAAAATTTTTCCTGCGTTCCTGAGATTTTCTTTTATAAAAAAATAGTCCCTCCAGCCCTCAGAATTTATTTATGACAGAAAACAGATAGTCCTTGCAGACCTGTCGATTTTTTCTATACGATAAAGTAGTCCACGTCGTTCTAAGAATTTTTTTATACGAACAAAATTATCAAAGGTTCAAAAAATAGTTCCTGTGTTTGGGTGTATTTTTTATATTGTAAATAAATTATATGTGTGATACTATTTGAAAAAATAGCCCTACAGCCCTGTCGATTTTTTCGATACCAAAAAAATGTTACCTGGGGTCGATTTTTTATATACGAAAACCAGTCCCTGTGGTCATGTTGATTTTTTTCTATTCCAGTAGTAGTCCCTACGGCCTATTGATTTTTTCATGTCGTACTTGGCTTTTCTATAAGAAAAAAATACGGACCTGCTGTCCCTTTTTTATACGAAAAAAATCTATAGAAAAAAGTCCGTGATTTTTTCTATTCAAAAAAGTCCCTACTGTCTTCTCGATTTTTTTCTATAGGAAAAAAATATTCTCTATGCTCCTGCGAAAAAAATATTCTCTATGCTCCTGTGAAATTGTAAAAAGTCCCCAATCGACAATGTTCGACAAAATAGTCAGTTTTACGTTTTACAAACCTCAGGGCCGAAGGGACAATTTTTTCGAGTATACAAAATTCAGGGACCAGCGGGACAATTTTTTCGTTTAGAAAAATATCAATAAAATGTCCCGTTGGTCCCTGAATTTTGTATATTCGAAAAAATTGTCCCTTCGGCCCTGAGATTTGTTTTCTACATGTAAAACTGGGGACCTACGAAAAAATGCGACCTGCAGTCCTGTCGATTTTTTTTTCTGTACGAAAATAATGCGGCCCTGTCGATTTTTTCTACACGAAAAATATAATCCTTCGATTTTTTCAATATGAAAAAAATCATCCCTGCTGTCCTGTCAAGAACTGCGGTCATATCGATTTTTGTATTTTGAAAAAAAAAATCCCTTACGGGCCCTCTGATTTTTTTTGTACAAGAAAATGTTCCTCTGTGGACCCTATGATTTTTTTTTTGCGAAAAAATAGTTCTCAGGGTCCTGTCGATTTTTTGTACCGGAAAAAATATTATCGTCTGTCCTGTCGATTTTTTGCTATACAGAAAATTAGTTTATGTGGCCCAAGGAACTGTTTGTAGTACCAAACAAATCGCTTCGGTACTGTCGACTTTTACCTATACGAAAAAATAGTGACATGCGGTCTGGTAAATTTTTTCTATATGAAAATCGGAAAAACGAAAAAAATTGTGAATATGTGAATTTTCGAAATAATAGTCCATGCGGTCCTGTCAAGAACTGCGGTCATATCGATTTTTGTATTTAAATTTTTTTTGTACAAGAAAATATTCCTCTGTGGACCCTATGATTTTTTTTTGCGAAAAAAGTAGTTCTTAGGGTCCTGTCGAGTTTTTGTAGCCGAAAAAAACATTATCATCTGTCCTGTCAATTTTTTTGCTATACAGAAAAATAAGTGGCTCAAAGAAACTGTTTGTAATACGAAACAAATCGCTTCGGTACTGTCGACTTTTTTCTATACAAACAAATCGTGACCTGCGGTCCGGTACATTTTTTCCTTATGAAAAAAGCGAAAAAATATGTGATTTTTTCTATTCGATGTAATAGTCCATGCGGTCATATCAGGAAATGTGGTCCTTTCTATTTTTTGTATTTTGGAAAAATAGTCCTTTACGGGTCCTCTGATTTTTTTTTGTACAAGAAAATAGTCCTCAACGGACCCTGTGTTTTTTTTCTTTGCGAAAAAATAGTTCTTAGGGTTCTGTCGATTTTTTGTAGCCGAAAAACCGTTATCATCTGTCCTGTCGATTTTTTTGCTATACAGAAAAATAAGTGGCCCACAGCAACTGTTTGTAATACGAAACAAATCGCTTCTCAACTGTCGACTTTTTTCTATACAAACAAATCGTGACCTGTCGATTTTTCTATGCGATAAAAATATTCGAAAAAAGGGTTCCTGCGGTCCTGAGATTTGTAGCAAATGGGGACATGTGGTCCTGTGAATTTTTTTCCTATGCGAAAAATAGGGATTGGTGGTTCTGACGATTTTTTCAATATAAAAAAATATTCCATAATTTTTATTTTATTTTTTTTTGTTTTAATTTTTTAAAACTTTTCCAACCCACTGTGCACAATAAAACTTAAAAGAGTTCGCTAAGAGTAGTTAAATGGAAACAAATGTTAAGCCGTAAAGTGAACAACAACATCTCCTCCTCCTGCACCATCACCTCTAAATGAGAAATAACAATTCACTTGGCGAATTGCGTGTCTAAGTGTTGTTTATAGCCGTAACAATATCAATTGAAGTTTATACCGAGAAATAATAACAACAACTACAAGAAAATAATGTAACAACATTTCCAGGATTTTATATTCTTGGTATTGTCTAAATACACTGCACTGCTACATGGTTTTCGCATTTCTTAGTTAACATTTAAATAGTTACGACAACAAGCAATACACAGGAGGAAGGTGGGAGGAGGAGGAGTTTCAACACTCCCACGCCCCTTTTTAGATACTCATTTGTCGGTAACACCCCCTCTTCCCTTCGGTGTGTATAGCAGAAGTTAGTTGTTAAGGCCAATATCCTCCGTGTGATTAGTTTAGTAGAATAGACTAGCTTTTTGTGTAGTTGTTGTTGTTTGGATGGTAATGGCAGAATACACATACCCAACCGCACATACATACATACAGAGTCGTATTTTCACAAGTGAAACAATTGTGATTTTAATTGTAATGTCATTGTTTTCCTTTTTGTTAAGAGGGGATTTAAAAAGGCCGAATGTATTAAGGTTGATGGACAATCCTGAATAGATGGTCTCTATAATTTTATGGTAAGAACAAAAAATATTTTTAAGTAATTTTAAGTCTGTATAAAAAACTAGTATTCCATAAGAAAAGAAAAACAAGGTCGCTCTAAGTATTATGTTTTTGTATCTGGTATCTAAACTAAAATCTTGTCTAAGCATCTTAACTTTAAGAAACCAAACCCAAAAAATTGTATTTTAGATCTGTTTCCCTTGTAAGGATCCTTCAATGATTTGAAAATAATAAAGATTTGTTAAATGAATAAAATTTAATGTGAGATGTTTGTTGATTTTTTTTGCTTAACTGCTGCTGCTTCTGCCCTGCTACATAGACATTTGAAACAGGAAATTGGTTTTCATTTTCTCCGATATCTTTTCTCGACAACGAAATAGATATTTGGCAGCTGACATTCTATGACAACAAAACGAAGAAGAACAAGAAGTTCTTTACTGATGAAAATGCAAATCTTCTTCAACCATTCAAAATAATGATAGAAACTTAATCGCTCGACATAGTCGTTTTGTTGTAATCATTTCTGTTGCCAAACATTGCTGCCTAATCAGAGGCATTGCCATTTTTTCTTTTTTGGAAACAAATTGGCAACAAGAAACGATTTTCCAAATGAGAAAACTAAAGGCAATCTTTTATTTCAATAGAAGTACTGCAAACGAGTATTGCCGAGAGCGTAATGCTAAATGATTTCAAATTACTTTAAATTTCCGTTTTAAGATAAGTTACAGGATACTGCTGAATTATGCCAATGGGCAATTTATCGGAATTTAAAAGAAGCCGCCAGATAAACAAATTAGTGTTACAACTTCAGTAAAAGGTGTGCAAAAGTATTTTGGTACATATGTCGTTCAGATCGTCGGCACTAATATTATTATACCCTCCACCAAGAGCAAGTCTTCTTATAGAACAGAAGTCCTTCTTATAGAAGACCAGAAGTTCTTATAGAAGGCCAGAAAGTCTTCTTATATAGAAGACCAGAAGATCTTCTTATATAGAAGACCAGAAGGTCTTCTTATAGCAGACTAGACGGTCTTCTTATAGAAGACCAGAAAGTCTCCTCATGTAGAAAAAAGGTCTTCTTATATAGAAGACCAGACGATCTTCTTATATAGAAGACCAGACGATCTTCTTATATAGAAGACCAGAAGGTCTTCTTATATAGAAGAACAGAAGGTCTTCTTATATAGAAGACCAGAAGGTCTTCTTATATAGAAGACCAGAAGTTCTTCTTATATAGAAGACCAGAAGGTCTTCTTATATAGAAGACCAGAAGGTCTTCTTATATAGAAGACCAGAAGGTCTTCTTATATAGAAGACCAGAAGGTCTTCTTATATAGAAGACCAGAAGGTCTTCTTATATAGAAGAC